TTTTGGAAGTGTGCAATATTTATTTTACATTATGGTCGTAATAAATACAAAGTAGAGTGTAGATTATCTACACTACGGATTTAAAAAAAAAGCGTATATTTATTTCATATTTTTGAATTATAAATTAAAATTCATTATATCACGTGCTTTTAACTTTCAACAATACGTATATTATATTTAATTTATCGTATGATTATTATTATGCGTTATACTTACAGTACATAAGCTTTATTGTTAATTATTTAAAATATATTTACATTCTTCGTATATTTTTATTTATTGTTTGATTATCCGTGCAAATCAATTATCCGCACATCATCAGTCCGATGAGTGCAGATAATCGAGTCTCCACTGTTATTAACTGTAATTTAGTATTCAACACATTTATTTTTTAATAAATAATAACAATACGAATAAAAAGAAAGTTAGATTTATATTTAACAGTAATGACAGTTCAAACAGCTCACAAGAAACAAAACTATAAATTGAAAATAGCTATATTTTGTATTAAAGTATAGAAAGTAAAAAAAAAAAAAAATCAAAACAATAAATAACCATAAAAAAATATATCTATTTAATGATGATATAATAATCAAGTCTTAAAAAAATGCTAGCACCCTAATGTGTGTAAAATTAACCACTCTTCCTCTTTTTCCTATCTACCTAAAACCTTCAAAAATATTTGGGACCTATTTGAAATTAGGTTTTTCAGATTTGGAACTATTAATAATTTTTCTTAAAAATACAAACATTTTAAATTTAAAAAGATTATTTATTCAATATCAAAATTATAAATTTTAACCTAACTTATGGGTTTTTACTTACCAGGCGCTAAATTAAGAATAGAAATTTTGCAATTTTGAAATTATGATAGACATTAGTTGATAATAATATGTGATACGTTATAATAATTTATAATTAGTATAAAAAATATAAGTTATTTTTGTTTTACCGAACAAAATGATAAATGTTTTTCCTCAATATACCATAAAATATCATAGGCTAACAGACAATTTCCATCCAGAATCTTTTATATTTACAATGATATATCATTTAATTTAAATTTAACACATACATTACAGTGACCCATTCATTACTTAATACAAAGTCGAGTGGTATGCACTTACTTTACTGTTTTTAAATCAAAATTCTTCTGATGAAAAACGAGATCACGTCTATTCACAGCTGTAGTAAAATAGTTAAATATAAAATGTAATATATATTTTTATAAGGATGATTAGCAGATTTTTAGTTCAATTCATTAGATCCAAATAATGTTTAATTGAACCATGTTAGTCTTATGCTATTTTAATCCAATCTATTTTGTCCTAATTAAGATCAAAATACACTGAAGCCCAATACATTTTTGTTCAATCTATGTAATCCAAAACACTCAATTAAAAAAAAAAAAAAAAATAAAAAAAATACTGTATTGCAAAATTTTAATGACTGTTGTTTCATTTAATTAACTTTTGGAATAGTAAAAATCAAAAAATTCTTAAATATCTACAAATTTATTTTTTCTGGTAAAAAAGTTAATCTAATTAGAACTCAATAGGTACTTAATTAAGATGGGAGAATTATTAAAAGTGAAAAAATTTCAGTCATTTTACTATAATTTATTTAAAGAAATCATGATTTAAAAAACAAAGCCCATTTTTGAAAAAAATGATTTTATTATTTTATTATAAATCAAATAAAATCAATTTTAATTATATTTTTGATTTTTATCCAATTGATTAGTATATTGTGTATACTTTCCAAACAATTTGCACAATCGAAAAATGAAGAATTCTATCACTCCATTTTCGTAGACCGAATACTGCTTATTTCTATTATACATCCCATTTAGTTTTCAAAAAAGATAATTTTAAAGTTCAAAATAATAGCATTATATGTTTTAGCAATTCATCAGATTGCAGACCAAGTAATAGAAATGCTACTCGTTTAGGCAAGCGTGTTTTACAGTCGAGGTCTCGTTGCATTTTTATTAGATGCTTCAGAAATCCTAAGTTCACGGTATATAATGAATTACAAAATACATTTAGCGGCCATACCTCGTTGCTATAGGCAACTCATGTAGGTAGTATGTTGACTATTAATAACACATGTGTGAATTTTAATAATATGATTTTCCGAGTAGCTCATCATTTCATTTCTACCTTTATATAAATTAATTAAAACTATCTCGCAAAATATATAATTACAAAATGTTTTAACGGGTGCTATTCGGTGTAATGTCAATATGTATTTTGACTAGACATATAATGTATAATAATATTTAATATTATAAACGCTGAGGGCTGTGAGTTAAAAATAACGATTTGATTGTCAAAAAAAAAATTACAAATATATCATTATATAACATGTACCTACATATTTACGCGAGTTGTTTACTTGTTAGTGGTTGGATTCCAGATTTACTACCTATATAGAATTATATTGTGTTGATTTGGTGGGATTGAGTTACGGTTGATTAGAATTAAATTTTTGTTTCCGGTTATATCGAATTTCCTCTATACAGCATAAAACCAAGTGTGGGATCCGGTATACCATCATGACTCTGTGAAGTACGATATTGCTATATTATTCATGGCATGGGTTATTTTTTCGGTCTCTAATAAAATGTTTCATCTGGAATTGATTGAAGTATCTGTCTATATCTAAATATATGTATAATATTATATCGATTTCGCTCGCATTTTGCGGAGTATTACATTTAAATTCATTCATTTCCATTTTCCACCAGAACGTAGATATATATATATACATTCCAAGCAAAAATGATAGATGTTTTCCGGTTGGTAGAGGTACTTTTGTTTGAATAAAAAAGATATTTTCGATCACAAATAATTCTTTGTAAATGTTTGTTATTTTTATAGTATTTATTTGTATCTAACAATAACGTTTAGTGAACTATTATTTTAGTATCGGTGAATTATTTTTCTTAGACTAGATTTCTAACTATACTTCGAAGTTTTGTAAAGTGTATACAAAATAAAAATAAAATTATACCTTAACCTGACGTGAGTAAAAAGTATACACTTGCTGGTTTATTTTATTATTTGAAATTAATTATATCGAAACAACTTGTACTTGTAAGTCTTAATACAGCTGCACAAAGGTATTTTTGCAAACAATAATAAACTATACCGGCTTCACTGCATAACAAATTTAATATGGTACATGCACCGTTTTTTTTTACTTTTTATAACTTGTAAGGTTTAAACATACACAAGTGTACGCGAAAGGAATAACACAGAAATCATAAATTATATTGTAAACAATTTATTATTATATATAAGTAATAGGGTATACCTACTTCATGCCATGTACATTACACCTGTCTCGATTGAATAAAATATGCATTTGTATTTTGTTTATGGTATATTTATGCGCCCTTATATTTTACAACTGCTAGCTTAGAAATTTTATTGCGACAAGGTAAAATCAGTTACCTACTAAAATGTCGCATAATACGTATACGCATACCCTACAAAACTAATACATTCTAAGGGTCATTCTTGTAAAAATTTTGAATCTTGGACCAAAGGTTTATTTTAACGATATTTACCAAAACGATACTTTTAAATCATTTATACAGCAATTAATTAGATATATTGCAGTTATCGATATAGTCTTAGGAAAATTTCATCTACTAAGATAAATTATAATGATTTAGTCAAACCAGAGTATTAGGTAATTGTATCTAATAAAACTTCTATAATATATTAATATATGCCATACAAAATAATGTTAATAATAGTTATTTGATCGCAAAATCAAACTAATAGTGAGACTAACAAATTTTTTTACTTGGATTAGGTACTTACGTTCGTTAATACCTAGCGATATACTGTTGTTAAATGATACGTGTAGTTTTTTTTTATTTCCTTGTTTTTACTATTTTTCATCTCTTTTTATAGATCTAAAACGAAACTATTGCAAGTCACACAACGATGAACAATTTTTCTTCGAACTTATTATACAGTTTATGCGGTAGTAAAAAGCTTTAAGAATATTTCTATTCAATAATTTAATGAACTAAAAATTGAAAACGTGTAGTATAATACATAATTTTTGGTAGTAGAAAACTATAGCAAATTAATCGCGTAAAAATATCGTTCATAAATATATTAAGCACTTTAGAGTAAACTGATTAATACTCCAAACATACTATTCTTGATCAAAGTTTTTTTATGTTTATGCTGACTTTTTGATTCTAGTTACCTGTAATGGCGTCAAACAGTAAACTACACCAAGTAAAATAAAAATAAAAACAAAAAAAAAATCTGATAAATAATACATGGTACTCAGAATCATAACAATAGTTTTAAATCAATATTAATAAAATAAAAATCGATATACAATAAATATAATGATGATTTATTTTATTTCAAACTGAGTACAAATTAATAGATGATTCATGAATTATAATATAAAATATAATTATTACTAAATAACTGGTGCAAAAAAATAATGTAATATCACTACAATGTTTTATTTTTTTTTACAGTATAATGTTAAAATTTTTAATGTATACAATGCAAAATTTCTTGAGACTAAATTAAATATAAAATAAAAACCGCTTATTACGTAAATCCAATTATTAATTATTCTAGTTTACTATTGTTATAAGTTATTAATAGCAAACAAAACTATGAAATGGTTCACTAATATTTTTTATAGTTCCTACTGATTACTTAACGCTATTAATTGTTGTAATAATTATTAATATTTAAAAATGCATTACATGATGTGTTTCTTAAAACTAAAATACAACATAACATGTCATCGAAAACTAAATCTATATACTATACTAATGATGTTTAAGATCATCAAAATATATTAAATTTTGCTTATAAAAATCAGTGTAAAATTCTTGTACATTGATAAAATACTAGAAAAATTCCCAATAAATGAATTTAGATAATATATATATAAAAAAAAAAAAAAATGTAAATAAATATTATAAAATATTAAAACTATTGTATATCTATTTAAAACTTACTTAGTTAACCGAATTCTTATATTTACTGAGTGCTAGCGACTTACGTTATAATAATATTATAGCAAAAGGAACAATAAAAAAGTTTATTATGCAGGATATGGCATTATGTACTCTACAGCGACATTTTGCTCGTCGGGCTGCAGATAATCATCGACATCCAAAAGTTCTTCTGAAGGCATTTTTCTCAAACTCAAATGATCAACAATCACTGGCAAGGTGGGTGGCCTGGGTAACGGACTGTCCAGTTCTGGTCGTTTAGTGACATTTTTCAAACGATCATGTATGTCAATGAATCTCAAACGTTCTTTAGGATCACTTTTCCAACATCCGTTCATTAACACGCATATAACCGGAGGGCAGTTAAGTGGTATGTCCAATAACACTCCATCGTGAATTAACTTTAAAACCTAAAAAATCACAAAAATACTCAATAATTGTAAAAGATGTCGAACAAGTCGAACACTCAACATCGAACATATTTGTAGTACCTAAGTATACCCTTAATAATTTATAACTTAAAGCGATACGTAATTTAGTAGCAAATACTATCGATATTTTTTTCTAATAAATAATATGCATATAATAATATAATAATATATAATAATACAATAATAACATATAATAATATGTTGGATCAACACAAAAAATATCAAGTACATCAAATAGTTCTTAGGTTTATAAAAACACCATTAATAATATCATTACGCGATGTAAAATATTTTTTTCTTTAATAATAAAACACATAATCAAAATCTAATTTTTGGAATTTTTAAATATATTTAAAGGTCGGATTTCCAAAATCATAAGATTTTTTTTATATTTTTTAGGGAATACTCTTTGGAAATGAAAACTTGATTATCACGTTAAATCTGCGTCTTCGATACAAGCATGCCTAAATATTACCCATAATTACTGCAGCTGTAATTGTTTAGACGGAAATATTCGATGGATAAATGCAATACCAATAACTTTACTATTTCTGTTTATATTTAGTCGAAAATATTTTTATGCGTAATTTATTATTACCATAACAATAGTATAATATGTATTACGAAAAACCCTAATTTATCAACATAATTGTAAATTTTTTACCTCATCATTCGAATAACCATAGTATGGTTGTTTTCCCAGCGAATAAATTTCCCACAACACGACACCGAATGACCACACATCTGATTCCAACGTGAATTTTCCATAAACGACGCTCTCCGGTGACATCCACCTCACGGGAAGCAATCGGGATCCTCCGACCTAAAAACGACAAGATGAAAATAAGTGTTGTGTTCATCGCGTAGTTAGGGCGTTTCGTACTTTGTAATAATCACAGGTGTAAATGTCCCGACTCATTCCAAAATCGGCGATTTTCACAGTCAAACCCATGCCGACTAAACAATTCCTACACGCCAAGTCTCTATGAACAAACCGTTGACTCGCTAAATACTTCATGCCCGCTGCTATTTGTAAGGATATCACCAATAGCGCTTCCTTAAACATAAAATTTCAATATATGAAAACCGCTATATAAAAATTAAATATTTATAAATTATTCAAACTTAGTTTTCGATAATTACCATAGTAATGAAATATTTAAATATTTAAATATCATCAGCAAACCCTTAATATTACATTTAAGTTTATATCTATATACGGTTATGTCAAGTACAATTGTTATATTCTAAACCCTAAGAACTATATTATTCAAAAAAGAGTTCTTAGATTTATATCATTATTAATACCTTATAATAATCTTGAATTCTACAGAACTGTTTTACAGAAGACCTATTATTTGTATAAGCAATGTACCAATTTTAACACCATTAAATTTGGATACTGTTTTTGAGTTGGGTACGTACAAAAATATTAAATTTTCTAACATTTTGGATGCATTATGTATGTGTAAATACTATACATTTATGTATTTAGTTACTTAATGAAGTAATTGATAACATAGAGATATTAACAACAAATTAATTTTAACTTTAAGTTTTCAAAAACCGTTTCAAAATATTTTTTACACTTACTTTGTCCAAAATTGGCAAATGTTCTGAATAATTTGTAAATTGATCACTGCTGTTTCTCAGTACTTCGGTTAAATCTCCATAAGCCATGAACTCGAATATCATCCACGGTGAACATTTATCTTCTAACCGAGTAAAAATAAAAAAAAACACATTAATTACATTCATAATCATTACAACATGTATATTTTATACTGTTACAGAAAACTATGATATGTTTTTTATAAATTATATTAACATTTAACATACTAATATATTTTTAATTTCACCCAAATAAGAGTAAATCCGTATATGATTTATTAAAAGTACAAAAACATATTGATACAATATTGTTTTTTTATTGGTAAATATTTACAATGGAAATATTAATACCATTTACTTAATAGTATTTATTAGATTACCTACTTGATTTATTTTATTTATTACCTTACGCTCATGAATCGGTTTATATGATGCAAAGATTAAAAAAATTGAAAATTTGGTTACCTCGGATAATAGTAGATGCAATCATAAAGTAAACTAAATTAATATAGAAAATGTATAAGTATATTAATAAAGTAATAAATGCACTAAAATGAAAGTTAAAATTTATAATAAAACTTTACGATTTAAACTTTATTTACACAAATAAAATACAAGTATAATAAATAATGTAACATTATTTTATGTCGTCCATAATCATTGAAATATAATTATTAAACATCTTTCTGTTAGTACCTAAAGTTTTTATTTTATTAATTTAGAAAAAAGTATAATAAATATGACCACATTTAAATAAAATATTGAGCTATTAATTATCTACTAATTTAACATAAATAAATTAACAGAACTATAAAGTTATTTATTTTTATTCTCCATAAATCTATAAAATTAAATATTAAAAAAATGTACTACTCAGTTTAAAAAAAAAAAAACGACAAAATCATTTGTTTCATGAAGAACACAATTTATATTTTTTGCCAATGCATTTGTTAAGTTTTGTCAGGTACTATTACTTTTACGGATATGTAGATTCAATGTGTTTATGGAAATTTTGAATTCATTGAACGGATAAATCTTTGTAATTAAATTGTTTTTAAATCAACAAGAAAAATAATTATTTTTAACATCGTCAATATTATTATTTAATATCTAACAGTCAATGAAATATCAACTTTTATTATTGCTATTATTTTAGTATGTATATCCTTTTTAAAATAGCTATAGTTAAGGAATATTTAGTTGAACTTTACACCTCAAACTTTTGACAAACACGATAACAAGTTTTGATTAATACCCAAAATGGTTGTTTAAAGTTCAAATGCCCATATATATATATATAGTACCAATATAATATCAGGCGGTGTATAACGTAATACGTAATATATATATATATAAATATATGTGTGTGTGTGTGTGTGTGTGTGAACTGGTGAACTGTGGACGGAGTAAATTATTTCACTCTCAACTCGCATTTCCCTTGCACGTTTAAACTTTTAACAACCTTAAAACCTATAATATATTATAAGTTATTTGTTCTCAAATATGAGTCTTTCAATACTCAACATCAGCTACACTGAACCCCTGTGGTGTGAAAAAATAAACTCAAAGTAAAAAATCGCACTATTTTTAATATTACATATTTTGCCATATAAAATGCATAATATTATAATAATTATAAGTTATCTATGTATATATTTTGAATTTTTTATTTTTGTTCTTTTATAATCACAAATCATGTCATCCTCCCCGATCATTTCATAGTACCCTAAATTGCTATAGTATGGCTTCTTCTCTACTGATACACTATTCCGGCATTTAAATTAACGGTGTGCAAAAATATAGGTTAATTAAATATTATTAATTTGGAATTAACAAAAAGTATTCATTTCATAGTAATTATTTAAAAATATTTGAAAAAAATGGTTCGAAAAATAAAATTGTTATTTTTACTACAGCTGTATTATGATTATTCTGCATTATTAGACAGTACTCATTAGAATTCTAACGCCCAATACCTTGTTAAAAAAAGGCAAAGAAATTTTAGTTGAGAGTAGTCAAATTTTTGGCATTTTTAAGGTATTGGTTTTTTTTTAGGAGTACGCATTTCTCAATATTATTAGGTATTACCATAAAACAAGATTTTTACCTAAACTCAATAGATTTAAGTTATTACACTTTCAAAAGTGTGATTTTTAGGTTGATACTAGCTTAAATGTTTACATTTTTTCGCTAAGTAAGTGAGTAATAAAAAGTGCGTAACTATACAAATGTCTTCTGAGGTGGAAAATTTGATGACAACGTAACTTTGATCCCAACAGCGTATGATGTGTATGCGAAATTAATCAATTAAAACGTATCGACATCAATCGCGGACAATAACTACGAAATGGTATACGTATGTATTGTACAATTAAAATAAATATTTATGTTAGGTATGAACGTAATAAACGACCTGTCGATGTTTTGAAAACACACATTGGAATATTATTCTGTATTTATATTATGATCAATATTAAAATATTGATGAAATAACAATAGTAATAATTACTATTGTTATTATTATTATTATTATTATTATTATTATTATCATCACCGTAACCATAAATGTATAATTTATATTTTATTCTTGTTGTAAATATGAAATAAGTATAGCGTAACATTACCTTGTGGGCAAACTCCAATCAAAGTTAAGATATTTGGATGCCTGAAATACGTCATTATCTCTACTTCCCTCATAAAGTCTTCTTTAGCCTCTAAGTTGGTGTGATCCTTCAACACTTTTATGGCAACCGTTTCATACTTGCCGTCAGTTTGTTGGAGGACACCTGCGTGGACAATAATCGCATTGGTAATTACAACGATATCAGCAACGACGTGTACGACAATGATAAAATAATGTGAAAGTGTATTGATGAGTTTTTTCGTAGTATTCAATAAACGACGATTTTCTGGCTAATATTTTGTTTTGATCGCTTATAATAATCTAACTATAGTAAAATGTTATTTTTAAATGTTTCTCAGCAATTTATTGGATTAATTTTTCTGGCGTACTATACCGAATGCGAGAAAAATCATAGATATGCCTTTCTATAGCGTCATAATGGCTATTTACAATTATTATAATGTTTCCTAAAATCCGATTACACAAAAAACCAAATACGATATCAAAAATTGTGAAAACGATATATTATTTATTACGATAATATGAAGAAGCGTCACAATCAGTATTCAGTATACTATGCTATCTGCCGAAAAACATTAATATTTATAAATCCGTTTCATGTGCTGAGTTAAATACATTAATTTAAAATTTACAACAAACATATTTTTTTTAATGCGTTTTCAACTTTGATTTTTTTTTTTAAGTCGACGTAGTTATTCATAGTTATTTTTAGAACATCAATAATCAATGTGTCTGGTAATTCAGCGTTGAGACTTATCTAATCTAGTTAAATCTCTCATTTAATCTTGGTAAAGCGTATAGTAAGGTTATATTTAAGATAAAAAAATATCCTTATCTATAGATTAACTCAACACTTGAAAAAAAAAGTTATATACCATTTTAATATTTTTTTGGATATTTTTGATATTCTTTAGTACTAATACGGTTATAAATTTGAATAAAAACATGACATTTTATTTATTGAGATTATTATTGTTATTATTATTTTAAGGATTATGTGTTTATCATTATCTATATTTATATAGGTGATACAACACTAATATATTAGTGTTTTCAGTTTGTTAAAATTGTTGTCATATGCACAATTAACATTACTGTCAGGGATTCAAATACAGTGAGTCAGTGACATATTACCTTTATAAACTTTCCCGAAGAATCCTTGCCCGATCTCCTCCATTGACGAAATACAACTTTTACTCAGATACGGTATCAGAATAGTGTCTTTAGCAACGGGCGACGGTGCAGCGTAATGCGGATTCATCGCGTAACTTTCTTCCTGGATCACACCTCTTATCAGAGACACCACAGGTGACTAAACATATACATGACGTCGTAGATATTATATTAAAGATTATTTATAATATATATATATATATATCTGTGTAGCAGAGTACGCGTATATAACATATAGAATACACACATACTGTAATACCATGCGTCTACAGAACCTCAACCAAAAATCTCCATAATATTTAATTATTAGAGCTAATATCTCATTAAAATATGAACACTAAAACATTCCTCTCCCCCCTCCCCATTACGGTTGTGAGATTGTAATACTTTTAGCATTTTTATGTATTACACAGTGCGTTTATATAATATAGTTGTAGGTCATCGATACATACATTGACGATAGCTGTCTTTGACTTGCAACAGCCTTTCGACGTACGACTCCACCAAATAATCAGTATCAACGCTATCGACACGAACGCTGCTATTCCCACCGCCAATAGCATGAGCACGTTTATGCGCAAAACATAGCCCAATATGTTGACGTCCATCTGTTTGGCCTGCAGAAAAACAAAATGCATGCGTGAATAATATTATTATGATCGGAAACAATAATGAGGTTGGCTTATCCGAATGAATTGGTATTACAAAACACCTATTTCCCGGGTCCCGAGAACTTAATTATTTACGACTTGTTTCTTTGGATGCCTCACAACCTTGCGTAGAGCGTTTTCACATTTCAGAAATATAGATATCATAATATACTAGCTGGAAAATATTATAAGCTATGATATTATTACTTTCGCCACTGTGACACCGTCTAGTGATAAAATACTCGATACCTAATAATAGTTATTATAATACGAGTCCGAGTGCAGTGGAAAAACGGCAATACTGATAATCACAATATAAGTTTCAGCGAAATTCATATTATACGTTTTAATAATATTTACAAAGAGAATTTCGAGGTATTTATAAAAATATTAATATTATTATTGTCAATTTATTGTAGATTTTTCCTTGATGTATTTTTCATTAATGTTTTTTTTTTTCTTAGTTTCCTATATATATTTACTATTGGCACACACAATTTATTGCGACGAAAGTCATTCGAGTTCTATGTTTTTGTAAGTATTTAGTTTTTCTTGAAAACATATTTTTTTAAGTCTTCGCCTATTTTTTTTTCAAATAGAAATCTTAAACAACAATATACGTGGTACTCCAAAAACTTAGTATGATAAATATTTATACCATGCGATATATAATTTATTATTTATTCGATAGAAACAACTCTGTCAGATACAATGATGGCGAACTCTAAAATATACATTATAATCAGTGGTTTATAAAGTACCTAACATTGTAATCAAGCTTTATTCACAGAACCAATTTAAAAACCGATGAAACATCTACTGGGTTCTTCTGCGTAAACTGAGATGATAAAAAAATTATTTCTTATAAATCAAACACAAGTTATTCGTTCAGAATTATTATCTATTAATTTATTTGTTTTTTGTATCACAAAATATATACTCAATATTGCGTACACTGTAAGCATGATATAATGTAGAGTATGACGTACAGTTTGTGCTCGACGAAAACAATATCGTTTTCAATAAATGTTTCTTGAAATTCTAGAATACTCAAAAATTAAATAATTATTTTTAATTATTATTAGATTGTATAAACAGAATCGAATTGTTTGTTTAATATACAGCATTAAGGTGTTCTTTTTACAGAAAAATGTTCAATCTCGTGATGATTTAACATAATGAAAACTTACAGTTACCAAAAACGTTAATACTTTTGGTGTAATTCAATAGTATTTGACTTAACAAAAATCACCTTATGTATAATTATTAACATTTGGTAATAAAATCAAATTTTACTACGTTTTCGCCTATTTTTCCTCTTTACGGTATAGGAGTGAAGTCATGACAGAAATAAATAATTTATTCGACAGATATTTTGCTTTTTTTTATACTGCATATTTTATGGACACCATGATATATATATCAGCAATCAACTATCATAATATTTTTCCCCATCAAAAACTTTTTTCTACTCGATTTTATTATTATTTTAATCTGATTTTGCCAATTTTATTATCTCTATACATTTCCGGAAATATACATTTATTTGTTATTGTTACTTTGATTCTGCGCGATAATATATTAAATTTACAATAACACAGTCATGTAGGTTACAAAAATTTGATGGTGGCCTGGTGTGGTTCGGTGGTTGGCCTCAGTCACTAATGTGTTCTAAGATCGAGCATCGGCCGGCGTCGCTAGTTCTCGGATGGGTGACCATCCGAGTTCTTAGTGACGAATCCATGGCGCGCACACTTACACACATGTGTTCCAACCGTACTAACCAAACTTTACAAACAAACCTTATACAAAAAAACCTATTATTCTTATCCACAACTAATGGTCTTAGTTTCCGGGCTTAAATAAGATTAATAAAAAAAAAATTAATAAAAAATCCATATTTAAAAACATATTTCTATGAGGTAGGAGTGACGACAAACAATTATTATACATGGAAAATAATCAAAACGTGTACATATTGATATGCAGTTAAAACCTGCCACAAATATATGTAAAAAAAAATATTACTTATGAATAAAGTGATTTTTATATACTAAATCATATCCTAACAAAAAGTTTAAATATATTTATAATTAGAAGTATAAAATTTAAACTAAAAAATTTGTTAAAATGATGAGAAAAATTGCAATTTATTTTGTATTTAAAAGTTAATAACATAACCTAAGAATCTTATAGTTACAAATTCGCGATACATTATAGTTTATTTATAAATTTAATAATGGCTAATGGTAAGAAAATTATTTTAAACAATACATATTATAATAATAAATTACTATATTATTATATAAACGATTTTTTTTCGGAATAAATACGTATCATTAATATAAAAATAAATTACTCTAATATAATATAAAATATATACTTAAATAGTATATTATACTATTGTAATAAATTATTCTTAAAAATATAAGCTGACTGATCGTATCAACACAAAATCTTTTTTATGCAATGAGTAATCATTTACTACAGTGATTCACTAAACGACGAGATACATTTGAACCTACCATATAGCCAAGTAAGCTTACTATTTTTTTTTTTTTTACGTTAACAATAATATTATTTTTTAAATTATTCAAACATATTTATAAAATGCTCAAATTTATCTTCATTTCGTGAAACGTTTATTTTTTTCTCATCGCGGTAATTTATATTGGTTTATTTGCTTTAACAGATTATGTAATAAAAAATATTTAAAAGAAAAAAATAGAAAACGTTGAAATTTTTAATTTCAACAATTTCGTTTATGACTGATAATTATATATATATATATATAATTATATATATAATTATGACTTACAAGGATAGAAAACATAGGTTGGGTTAAGGTATCATCATTATTATATATTACAGTTATCTATTCTAAAATATATCATACGACCAAAATTGTTTAATATACTCACGGGAGGAAATGATGTAGTTTGGTTTAATGTGGTCTTAATTGGTTGACTGGTGGTCGTGAACGGATGAACCACTGTTTCTAATGGTTTATGTTCGTTTTTGTTGATGCTCAAGTTCACAAACGATTTCGGGGCCACCGGCACTATATGTATGTGATGGTATACAGTAAAAATCGATAGAAAAATAATACAACTTAAAAAAATATATTACCCGTCTTTCTGGTGAGACATTTCAAGTCATCGGTGGGCTCACTCAAGTCTTGTGGACATATACACAAATAAAAGTTGTTGTCCAATTGCCGACAAGCCGCTTCAAATCCGCACGGTCTCTTCTCAACACAAGACCCAAATCGACGACCATTTTCCGCTGAAATTCGAAATCTTTACGTTAGGAACATCCATTGTTTAATATATCCAGGATAGTCGACTATCTTTGTTAACTTGTTATGATATTATATATATATATATATATATATATATATATATATAATAAATTGAACTTAATGCTTAGCACCAAGATGTTTAATCTTATTAAAAATAATTAGATACATATTTCTAAATTTAACTTTTTGAGCTTTTTGAGGTTTGAGTCAAATATGAAAGATAGCAGTATATAACGTACAATACATACAGTTTTTACATTATTTTGTTAAGGAAATCTATTTCTTAAGTTATATGTATAATGTATATATTTATCAATTAAAATATTTTAAAGCTGACACGACATATAAGTAAATAAAAAATTAGCTTGTATTAATATAGTTATAAATCTCATGGTTAAGTGTTAACAACAAAAATAGTAACCCTTATATTGTTATTATTATTAATTAACCATTTGTATATTAAATAGTGAGTTAGTTAAAAATGAGCAAAAAAATTTCAATTTAATTTTAATTTTTAAACTCGTTAATGCAGCCTTGCCCTTTGAGTCTACATTATCAAATGTACATTTATATATATATATTATCCTAGGTGTGCGTAATCGTGAGAAAGCGCAAAGACTCGCGTCGACCATATGTGTTTTAAGCCATACCTAAAAGACATCAAAGGAACGCGACCGTACAACAGAGAACGCCGACATATTAAAATAACGGATTTACGTTTTCTATTGAGAGTCAAACGCTGTGTAGACAGACAAGAGTCGAATTACCGACTATAATTTCAAAGTGGTCATAAAACGCTTGTTTACTTGTAATCGCGTAACGTGCACGTGAGGGTTAACTCATGATGATAATGCAATCGTAAAGGGTTGATGTGTGTGTCTATATGTATATATAATATAATATACGTTTATTTATCGTCGTTAATCGTTATTGATATTCTTCTTCGTGTTCACCTATTCTGAATATTATTACTATCATCATAATACAATACGAGTATAGCTTATATCATACAGTGAAATTTCGAATAGTTTTATAAAAGCTGTACAATCGATTACATTATTATATCGTGATGCTACACAAAAACGTCTAACGCTAATGAGGGGCAATCGATGTATGTGTTGTTTTTGTTTGTTTGTTTTATTTTTATTAATATATATTATATTTATACGTATAAAATATTCAATTTAAATGGTTTAGATTAATATCAGATGGCAGAAGATCGTATTTTAAATGTGCTTTGATGTTGACTTTCGCATTAGAACTATTATAAACGACAACTCATTCGACAAACTGTGCGATAAAAAATGGAATATTGGACTTTTGGACTTGCTGATCGTTTTTTTAAGACGACTAACATGTCACCTACGTAATATTGGTGCGGTTTTTAGAACACTTGACACGAGCTATTATAAAATGCTGATTGAGGAATACATTTTTTACGGTTTCGTTGTAAGCACGTACAATATTATATTGGACATGCCATCATTATTTTTATACACCGCATATATTTCTCTTACAAATAATATTATTATGTTGTTGTCTATAATATTATGGTACGAATATTATTAGAACGAGTAAATTTTTGTTTCGAATTTAACGACGAGGATATATTATTTTCTAAATCAATTCAATGAAAAATATACTATGAACATTTTATTTCCGTAATTGTATTTGGACGCAACCATAAAAGTTCAGCATATTTTTATGAACTTCTATTAAATTTATATTACGTTTTATGCGAACGCCAAGCAACGAAAACACTATAAATATACAAACTGGTAAACATTGATTCAATACAAATACTGATAAAACGCATAAAAATAAAATAACCTTTAGACGGAAAAATATCAGAACAGTAAATATTTGAGTGTTTTTTAATAGGTGCCTGTTATAATGAAAAATACACATGGGATCAATACTATGTAACAACAGTAGCATTAATTTTAATAGGTACCAAATGAACCCGCAATGTGTTGTCCACTACAATGCAGTTCCCAACATAGGATCATATTTGAGATTTTTGAGAAGAGGTATATAAAAAATTGATTTGTTAGTGATTAGATTTAATTTATACTAATAAAAGTAATATATACATATAATATATTAATTTAAAACAATATTCTTTCCTTTTTTTTAAAGCAAAGCTCTTCAATAATCTCATCTTTAATAATTGTTTTACTTATCATCTACTTATTCCTACTATGAGACTAATCCACTTGGTACCTACTAATAAATACCATTGATCTAATAAATTAATGTATTATTTATGGCAACTAAATGTTACATACAATAATTATTTCCCTTATATAAGCATAATGCTATAGTTACCTGCAATGTAGTACTTAATTATAGTATAACACAAATACATTAATTAACAAGCTTATTTAGAAAATTCTAGTTTTTTTTTGTACTACGATTTTAAGAAAATAAATTACATCTTAGAACAAAAGCTATTGAGTAATATGTGATATTTTCCAAGTACAAAAAATATAATATTTTATGTGTGTATGTAAATCTGTGGTTAAATGTAAATTTTAAATGTACAGTCTCTTTTCAATCTTCACTATGCATCCATGCTCTAAATTACTCACTATTTAATATTAAATGAGTTAGCCTTGTGCGAGCTTAAGTATAATATAACTGAAGTTAGATGCACACTGATAGTGTGTAGAAATTAGTAAGGGCTTATTATACATAATACCTAATACTATCTATCTAATAATTATTTCATGAAAGTTTGGAATGTGTGGCATAAGTTTTATTGAGATTAAATTTCCTTAACATGGTTCAACATTTTGATTAAACAGTCCTATATAGAGTATAGATAACACCGATAGGGGTAAATAATTCACAGGAATGTGTTGAAATTGAAATACTCATGGATATCATAATACAGAAATACTGTTGGAACAAATTATATTTTACATCTCATTATATATTTCATTTAGATATTCGAGCTTTTAAATATTTTTTTACTAAATTCCAATAAAAAAGCATTTATAACGCTTAAAAATAAACAAAAGTAAAAATAGGTATGAATTGAGATATATTATATATCTACCTACATTGGTGAAATCGATAGGTTCCATTACAATTCTCTGGTTTTTTATTAAATCAAAATAAAATAATAAATTATAAAAACAAACAATAACATTGCAAGTGCTAAACAACAATTTAATCCAAAAAATGTTTTATAACTATAAATAATGATTAAATTTATAAAATAAACCAACCATTTTTTTTTTTTATTTCTCGTATACATAATTTAAATACTCAATTTCTCACTATTTTAAATAAAAAAGTTTGATAAAAATTTCAAAAAGTAATATAAATCATCAAATGATGCAATACGAATTATAACAAGTTTTATTGCTTAGACGTATCGAAATCCTGATAAATATTTTAGGAACACATTCCGGTCGTCTGGACAACCTTTGTTAATATTTATAGCTTTTAACTAGCGAATAAAAAAAAATAATAAGATGCTATATACTAACTATTAAGTATATTTCATATGAAAATGTTTTTGTTGTTTCTAGTGTTACGATTAATATGAATGATCAACGAAGCATTTTTATAACTTTTATTTCTTTTTTATATCAAGATCTAAAAATTATTTTAAAAGTTTCATTAATAGTTTAGTAGTATATCTAGCCATATTAAGTATTTATTTTAAGTAAAATTATTCATTTTTTCTTCTAAATTATTAACTGTTCTTAAAATTAGGTAGTGGCTCATTATGACACCTAAGCAAAACTAGCGTCTTGGACGGAATGTTCGTGGTGCTTGGCTCCAGGGAGCTCACCTTGACTTATTGCCTAGAGGAGGAAACTCCGCGATTACATATAGGGGTAAAACGTCGCTAGAGTAAAAACCAGATTAACTTGTCAAACCCCGCAACACATGGAAAGATGTTCTTACAATTTATAAAAACTATTCTGTACTATATTGTAGGATTTTATAGTAGAATATTTAAAAATTATCAAATAAAATGATATGGTTATACTCGAATAAGAAAATACCTAAATTAAGAAAATTGTATTTTTTAGTAAGTTTTTAATATTTCTAGGAATTTCCGAACCAGGTCTTTTCGGTAATTTTCAACAGTACTAACTCTACGTGTCAAGCAAATTTTTCGAAATCATTTAATTTTGTTATAGTTTTAAAGCCGTGTTTGTTTTTCTTTTACAAGTATAGATGAACTAAGTATTTCGTGTGATCATCTAACGACGATAACTATTGCAGCAGAAAAATATGTTTACCTGTATGTAGTGCATAAAACATATTATTACTTATTTTTGTTTTTCTACATTTTTATTCCTAACAACTTTTATAACCACAACAATAGTATTTCATTAAATCAAAAGCTTTTGTGTTTCTAATTTATAAATTATTATTTTATTTTTTTATTAAGTTTTAAATTATTTTCCATACGAATCGTATGGGAAAATATCGTTCCATATTTTTTATTTAATTTAAACCAAATATTTAGCTATTTATTCATATTATATTATTAAAAAAATTAGTATACAGTGTATATAGCTATACTGATACATAAATGGTAAAAGAAAATACCACACCCTATCATCTGTGTATTAAATTTAAATTGATTAATATGTTTTTGTTTATATTTATTCGGTCTGTTATATATACTTACACTATGTAAACAATATATCATATTTATGTTTTAGAGTATGATTTTTTTTTTTTTTTAATAACATTTATTGTTTTTTTTTCACATAATATATGTATTGTATAACTATATATATTTTTAATTGTTTAATACAATCAATTCTCTCCCCTAATAATAACAGTCGATTGCGTTTTTAATAGTATACGATGATACATATTTATTAAAACGCAATGATTTCACCGTGTTTATCTACATCAATAACTTTTTTTCTGTTTTATATTTTTTAAATGCTCTTCCCCAATAACAAGTAAATTGAATACATTAAATCAGTATTAACTAACTTTTTATTTT